TCCCCTCCCATCCTCTCCCCTTCCTGCGCGCAGACACCCTTGGAAAGGCTCTTGGCCGCTTTCTCTGAGACAGGAAGGTGTCCCCGAGTCTCAGGAAGGAAAAACACTCAGTGCTGAACCCACAAAGACCGTCTCCGAGGGGCCGGGGCTGGAGAGGCTCCAGGCCTGACATCACCTGGGAACTGGAACCAGAACCGCAGCTGCACTCCGCGCCTGGTATTTTTTTCTTTAACTTGTGTTTTTAAACTTTCTTTTTATAGATTTTTTTTTTCCCCTTTCCCTTCTCCATTCCCCTCCCAAATATTTCAGCCTCTCCGCAGTTTAACCTTGCCAGGCCAGCGAGGCTGGAATGCAGCAGGGCTGCACCCGCAGCCGGAGCCCGGCGGTGCTGAGAGCCACCGTGCTGGAGGGACTGGGTCCGGCCAGGCAGGAGTTGCCGGGGCCCCGGGCAGGCGGGCAGGGGGCTTGGGCAGGGGCTTGCTCCCTGGTGATGGCAGAGCCAGGACCTCACAGCCCCCGGCACCGCTGTGCACCAGGGCCAGTGGAAAGGGATCTGCGGCCACGCAGGGACCCGGGAGGGTCCAGCCAGGCACGGGGGCATGGAAGGATGGAGCCACCATGGCTGAGGCAGCTGGCAGAGCCTGCGGTCGGTGGGCAGCACTGCTCCCCTGACCCACAGCCCCCGAGATGGGGTAGCAGGGTCAGGCTGTGTCTGAGCCCGAGCCTGAGCCTGAGCCTGAGCCTGTGCCAGCCGAGCAAGCAGAGCCGGCCAGCGATGTGGGACATGAAGGCAGGTTCCAGCCCCGTGATCCAGCCCTCCTCAGGCCTTTCCTTTGGCAACACCTTTGGGTGCTGCCTGGCCCTCCCGGGCTCCTCTCGGAGCAGAGGCTCAGGACAAAGATCCCAACATGTCCTGCACTGGCACCAGGGCAAAGCTCAGCCACTCACTGCCCAGCAAACCCCCCTGGTGCAGCAACTGCAGCAATTGACCGAGCATCAAGGGTCACCCCCAGCCCTGTCAGACTTGGGGGCAAAGGACTGTGAAGTGACCCCCAAGGTCTAGATGGCAGCGGGTGGGGACAGGGCTCTGCTGCCCAGGTCAGGGTGGGCAGACGACTGGGGAAAGATGGGCAAACCAAGGGCTGGGATGTGGTGGGATGGGATGGGG